CTTCTGTATTACTGACTGACTTGCCAGCTTTATGTCAGATAGTGAAGGTGATCAGCTCGTAGTCACTGTCACCCAGCTTCCCTTTGATCATTAGGTCGCTGATTAAGTCATCCCCGATTGTCAGTACCAGGACGAGCAGCGCTTTACCTCTCATCAGCCCATAGACTTCCTGCGTCAGATAGAGCTCGTCCACGCATGAGAGAAAGCTTTGCGACTGCTTGAATTTGGCCGAGCGCTCTTCCCACGTTATGAGTCTCTGCATGCTGTTAAGTACAGTGTCAAGCTTTTTAGTGTGACAACATTTGGCCTGTATGCATAGGCGACATATACCTCCTGAGGCTGGGGGGGCACAGTTACTGCCTGCAGGTGGTGACGTAGCCATTGCTGGCGAGGACGGGCCAAGCGGAGACTGTCCACAGGTGGCTGGGGCGGTGTCGGAGGTGGGGTGGGGTTCCCCCATGGCCGATCGCCGAGGGGGGGGCCGCAGCTGGATGCCAAGCTCAGAAGTGCTGGCGGCATGCCCAGAAGTGCCAGTGGCACTTCTTGGGGTGGGGTGGGAGGGCACCAGTGCTCCGCCTGCCCCCCCTGCCTGTTGTCTAAGCCAAGAGCGCTCGCTCTTGGGGAGGGGGCACCAATGATCTCAGGGGTGCCCCTACACATTGCCTATCACCATACAGGAGCACAATATTCTGCTGGGGCATATACCATTTCAAAGGGTGCAGACAGAAGTGACAATTTTCACCCAATCTGGCCACAGAAAGTGGTCTATAGATATGGCCAAACACAAGTGCACAGATGCAGACAGCTTAAAAATGGACGATCTGGTGAAAATATGACTTCTTGTTGCATGAGGGGTCATATGAAGACATTTGAAAACAGAATGTCATCTGTAACTTATGTCTGTGCTGCCTGTGAGCCTGTTGCTGTTTTCAGAATGGGAGGGGGGAAAGGGAATGGAGAGAGTTCAGCCTGGGGGGATTTCAGCCCCTTGAGTTGGGGGCTCCAGTTCACTCACCAGCGTTGGCTGGAGAACCCCTAGAACAAGCTCCCTGTGCTCTCTTTCCCCTCTCCCATTCTGAAATGGGGACAGACTGGGAGAGAGGAGGGGCTGTTGCTTGAGGAAACCAGCTGCAGGCTAGCAGCCAGCAGCTAGATTCCACTCCTCTTTGGAACCAACAGTGAACTTCTGTTTGGTTCAGGGACTGTTGTAACTCAGAGTGCTTCCTGCAAAATATTGTCAGTTACAGCTAGCAGCTGCACTTCTGTCTGAGCCCTTCAAGTGCAGTGGTTCTGAGCACTTTGAAATTGGCACACCATGCTGTGCTGGTTAAATTTCCAAAGGCAGGTACCTGTGCAGAGACTTTACTCCTGATCCTCTGAATGTGATATTTATAGGTGAGGGAGCAGTCTAATGTGACTCGTGGGTATGTTGTGGTATGCTCATGGGGAAGGATGTGGTTGCTTACTCTGATATTCAGTGTGCTCTTGACTCCACAATTGTCCAGGTGGAAGAGTGATGATACTGATATATTGATGCTCTCCATTGGCTTTGTGCCTCTCAAACATCACTCCAACCCCCATGCCACTGGCTTAGAACAAAGCAGAGGTGCCAGAGCTAGAACCCCCTACTGTTGTTGGGGACTTATTATCACTCTGTTACACTGAGTGGGGCCATAAAACTGGATCAATGGACTGCCCCATCCTTCAAGGTTGAGTTGCTTTCCTGAGAGGGGCCAGTGTGTTTACCCAGATCCACCTGACGTAAATCCTTACCCAAACAGACCCCAGTATACAATGAAAGCTTTTTTTAAGCCCCACAACTGAGGTGTAATCAACTGGTGAATCTCCACATCTTCACTGGAGATCCTCCAGGAGCTGTTTGGCAGAGAAGTATGAATGAGCACCACAGCAGGTAAGGTGCAGTGGGAAATGGGAATTCTCCCTAGCAAACCCCCCACCTCTCCCTCCCTCTCCTCCTGAAGAACAGGAGAAGGCTCAGGCCTCCAGGTCCTGACACTTGGGTTTCCCAGCCCTCCTGGCTCCCACAGCAGGAAGATAGAACCCAGACACCCAGGTTTTGCCAGGGAGGTGAAATGCAGGCATTCCACGGCGTGGTCAGTGCCAAGTTGTGAGCAGCTGTGTGGCTTCTGGCCCCAAGCGGGGGAAATGATCTGAACGGGGGACTCACCATAGGTCCCTTGGTGTCTCCCTTGTCTGCAGACTCCACATTTGTGTGCAGGAGGCTTAGTCATGGAGTCCAAGATGCTGAGTCCAGGATGATTGAACAGGCACTTTCAGAGCATTGGAGATGTGTGGAGAGATGACACTGATGACATGAGGACCAAAAGGGATCATCGATGTTGGGGGTTGGAATGGACAGGTTGGCAACTGTTTGCACCTGTAGTGCCACAGCACTTGATCAAGTGGGGAACCAGGAATGTGCTGTGAAGGTCCAAGAATGAGGTCTATGGATGGCCAGCCACTCTCTGATGGAGGTCACATGTGTCACTACAGAGCTGAGAGAGTTGCATAACCAGGATAAGGAGTTTATGCACAGGGTCAAAGACCTCCTTGGATCCAGCTACAACATGCATGAGTTGCATCATCACCTCCTCCCACAGGAAGACTCCCAGGCTGAAGTGGTGGGGTAGGCTGCCACCCACCCCATGGACTGCTCCATATGGCAACATGCTCAAAAGTTCCACAGGGGAAGGCCCTGGATGGCAGCTGTAGGGGAATGTTCCACACTGCACATTGACTGGAGGATGCTGGGAGGGGGCAGAGGGATCCTGGAACAGGAAATCTAACATGTGGGAGCCGCTGAACCATGGTCCATGGAACCAGGAAGATGTCCAGCAGGGCCCGCTTTGGGGAGTAGAAGTGTGGGAGGGGTAGGGGACCAGCCTGCCCAAGACCTGATGCCAGGACCAACATTTACTCAGCCCACCTTCCAGGGGCAACTCGCTACACCCAGCCACTGGTGGTCACTGGTGTTAGGCGCAGGGCTCCAAAGGGAACAAGGGGTGAAAAGGAACATCCAACCAGCCCACTAAGCCAGGCCTCTGTGGGCCCAGGTCCTGGTGTGGGGAATGGCAGCCCTCTGGGCTCTGGCCCAAGCTCCAGAGCAGGCAACATTCCACAATTTTTCTTTACAATACACATGAAAAGTTTGGCAGCTGCAACATTTAATTAAACCAAGGGGTGGCAGTTTCACACATAGCATTCCCCCTGCCACCCTAACTTTTCGTGTTTGTTAAATTAAGTGACCCCACCAACGGCATGGGCGACTGGTACCTCCTGAGTCGGGGGGCACTTGCCCCCCCAGTGGCCAGTCAGTGACCAGGGTGGGGGAGCGGTTCCCCCACAGCCAATCGTGCCAACCCATACGTGACAGTGACGCACTACTGGCACTTCCAGACATGTCACTGGCACTTCTGGGTCAGCACGATCGGCCGCGGGGGAAACCCACCCCAGTCAGTGTGATTGGCCACAGGGGGAGTGCAGTGATTGCTTCTCTTGGCACCCCACTCCCCAGCCGGTGCTCTCAGGGGGGCACCAGTGCTCTTGCCTGCCTCCCCTGCCTGTCGCCTAAGTGGGGAATGCTGCCTGTCAGGGGGTGCATCAGTGCTTTCAGGGGGTGCACGTGCACCCCTTACGCATTGCCACTGTCCAACGGCATAACCACCTAGGCAGGGTCTTTTCCCCATTCTCTCAATGTTAACTGAGAAGAAGGTTCCAAGTGCCAGAGCAAGCAACATTGCATGGTCTTTGTTTAATAAACACACTAACAGTTTGGCAGCTTTGACATTTGATTAAAATGAGGCATGTTTCTGCCTCATGCTGCATTGCCCCGGACCCCAGTGTGTGCCCCCAGGTGTGGGGGTGGGAATTGGGAAGGGGAGGGGAAGGATGACGATGCCCAGGCAGCCTGGGTTGTGGGCAGAGGTATCCGTGATACAGAGCTAGAGGGGCCCATGGCAGGAAACCCACAACCTGGTACCAGGGTGTAGGAAATCAAAGGCCTTGGGCCCTACTCATCCAGGAATAGTTCCTGGTTCATGCAGGTAAAGAGGTAGTCAGCCAGGGCTTTGCAGATCCAGACAGTGTGGGGTTGGGGCCACACACATCATTGTGGGGCTTGCCCTCTCCCCCATCCCTGTACCACATGTGCTCACGATCCCAGGCCAAGTCAGTATTTGAAGTGCTCCTTTCAGCGATCCAGCTGCTCTCCATAGGGCCTCATGAGCCAGGGCAAGAAGAGCTATGCCAGGCCACTGAAAAGGATCGGGGAGTGATGATGTTGCTAATAATTAAATCAGGGACCCTGGGAACATAGCACTCACTCTCCATCACCCTGAGGAATAGGGAGTTGCACTAGAGGCAGGCATCGTCCTTATTGACCGTGTGAAAGTCAGTGGTCCAGTCATGCCCCAGATGCCTAGGTTCTGTGTGTGTGTCTGCACGTGTGTATGTGCATGTGAGTGCCCAGGACAACTGGGTTCAGGGGGTGAGGGGGGCCATCCAGGTGGGCAGCTGATGTCCTTGCCAGCCAATCAGGGGCAGCTTGATTGTTTGGTTCTGCTCAGGAGTCTTCGGCAGCCTGGGGAGCCTGTGGGGTATGCTGGGAGGCATGTGAGAGCTCCCACTGCACCTGCTGTGCTTGGGCCATTCAGGCAGGCTCTGAGGCTCCCCACCACAATCAGCATGGGCTAATGTGTGTTCCACTTCCTCCGGACATAAACAGGGGCACAGAGAGTAAAGCTTTGAAAGTTAAAGTGTTTCCATGGTGGGCTTCTCGAATGCCTGTACTTACTTAGCCAGAATGATTATGTTCATCTGCCAATGGGCTCTATTTGCTCAATGACACTAACTTGTAATCTGGTTACCTACTGTTCTAGATGGATATATAAGTATACCTCTCATACAATGCTGCTTACCCCAAGCATTCGGAAGTCATGAATCTGGCACCCAAAATGATTTTTAAAAATAATAAATTTGTTGTTTTTATTTACCTTCTGGATATTGAAATGTCAGACTGCACTGGAATTAGATCTTCTGGGTTTTCTCTGCAATCAGGAGAGTCAAAAAAATTACTTTAAAAAGAGAAGATAAAAGCTGGTATTCTCTGTTTTTTGTTGAGTCTTGTGAATGATGCAGCTGCGTGAGGTATTGGCAACACTGCATGTACTACATTTCTTTTAGGTACAAGGGATTTACCAAACCATTGAGGATTTTCAGTCCATCTTGCCTTCTCTCTTCTGCTGCCTACAAATGCTGCCATTAGGAAGCTGCCCATAGCCACTGCTGTAGTTAGTGCAGCCACTCTAGACACTGATCCCTGCAGTCTTGAGGCCCCTGCAGAACTGGTCACAGAGGCCCAGAAGAAGGTCTGCTTTTCACAGCTATGCATTTGCAGCACAACAGGGGGTTGGAGAGGTTGCTCCGAGCCATAGAGGTTGTGGCTCAGTGCCTCTGGTCAGCCACAACAAAGAATTAAAGCAGTGAAAACTGTTTTGCTTCTGGCACCATGCTCAGAAACACCATGCTGAGCTGCACACAAGAAACCATTTGCAGCTCACAAAGAGCAGTTGTATTAGTCCTACTAACTCCAGAAGCAGTGCTGCACATTTGCTTTATTTATGTGTGTACAGGCATGGAGCAGTCTTGTTACCCTACTTACGTAAGATCATCCCTAAAGATACTTACACCTATGAGAAACCTGCTATGGGTCCTACAGGTTTATTGAAGAAAACTCCCAATTCATGGCATTTCAGGAAAAGGCCCAAACACCAGTAATAGTAAAAATGTATTACTGACTTTAAACTGACCCTTACTTTTTTATATCTGGGCATTATTATAAATGCAACTGATTATCCTTCTATGATATTAATAAACTCCTTCATACATAGAACATTCCAGTGAGATGACTGCTATATCTATCTGACAATAACATCTCCAGCAGAGGGTTATTTCTGGTTCCACCCCTCCAGCAAGGTAACAAAAGATTCCTCTGCCACAAAAGGGAAAAAACCCCAAAAAATAAATCCAAAGAAAAAGACAATCCTCTTGCACAGCTTAACACTCTCAGAGCTCTATGGTTCCAGTTTCCTGAGCAGGGCAGCAAGAAATTCTAGCCCAAACTGAGTACTCAGGATACTAGACCAACACCTAGAATATTCAGATACACAAGTCACTGAAAAGAAAACATAAAAGCACAGCAGCAAGCTAAACTACATGTCCTTGTATAGAAATATCCTGTGACTATGCTGCCCCTTACCACTGTGAAACATGCACAATAAAACACTCTCCACATGACCAATCAGTGACCAGTAACTACTAAACATGACCATCAGAAGACACAAAGCTGGCTCTAAACCTGGAGAGAACTGACTTGGGCACAAGAAGTGTCTTATTGGTTCTGCCAATCCCAAGAACAATCTTCAGGGCCCTGGGTACTCTCTACTAGTGTTCTCTATATAGACATATATTAGCATAGCTGCTGTGCACATATTCAGTGTAAGTATAGGCAGCAGAAGGGGTGAGCTAACGGGGCTCAGTCCCCCCAAACCTCAGGGCAGCCCAGCCGCAGGCTGCAGCAGGGGGGAGGAGCACGCCAGGATCGCAGCTGGCCCAGCACAGCAAGTCAGTAAGTTTCTTTTGACTGCCTGTGCTTGGGGAAGACAGATCGAGACCCCCACAGTGAAGGAGGGAGCAGAGTAGGGGCAGGGTTGAATCATTCATCCCTGTCCCTGCCCCTGCCCCGTTCCCTGCTGCACTGTGGGGATTGCCCCACAACCCAGCCTGGCCAGGGCCTCATTCACAGGGAATGTTGAGGGGCATATTGTCATTTACAGGGAATGGGGCCCTGGCCAGGCCAGGTTGTGGGGCAATGGGAGCCCGGCGGCTCATCCAGGGTTGTGGGTGAGTGGCTCCTGCTTTTGTGCGCACTGCAGGGGAGCCGGGAAAGGAGGGGTACATTCGTCCTCCTCCCCCTGGCTTCCCCATGCCACGCCCCTGGATGAGCCGCTGGGCTCTGACTGCCCCACGACCCAGCCCAGCCAGGGCCATGCTCATGGTGAATGGGTACCTGGCTGGGTCGTGGGACAATCAGAGCCTGTGGTTCCTCCAGAGCTGCGGCATAGGTAGCTAAAGTGCGGGGTGGGGGGCAGTGGCCCCCTATCTTTGCACAGGCCAAGGGCAGGCTACAGTTGTGCTCTGCCTGCTCCCCATCTCTGTGCCTTGCTGCAGCCTTTGAAAGCAACTCCATGTGCCTCACTGCTCAGCCTGCTCAGCAGTGGGACCTACATGGTGCTGTGCTGCTTTCAAAGGCTGCAGTGAGGGGCAGAGGCAGGGAGCAGGCAGAGCGCAACTGTAGCCTGCCCTTGCCTCATGCAAAGATTGGCTCCCCGGTGCTGTGGCTCTGGAGGAGCCCCCAGGCTCTTCTCGGGTCAGGGTGTCCTGGGGGCTCCATCCCCTCTGACCCAGCTGAGGCTGGTCATGCTCCAGCTACAGGCCTCCCCCCAGGCAGTGCAATACCGGGGCCAGGACAGTGCCGGTGCGGAGAGGCAGCCAGGGTGGGTGTGGGGTTGGGGGGCAGTGGATGTCAGCACCGGGCAATGACCCCTGGCATAGGGAAAGGGGCAGACACACTGGTATACCACACTCTGGTCCTGATCCCAGCCCAAATCTCACTCCCTCCCCGCCTTCCCCTTCCCCTTCCCCCACAGACTTTTTTTTGGGGGGAGGAGGGTACGCACGTGAGTGTGCACTCAGCCCCCGCCCAATTTTTTTTTCTCCCTCTGCCTATGAGTGTAAGAAGGTTGGTGCACCTACTGCCATTCAGGCAGGCTTTGCTACCCTAGGGGCTGTGTCTAGACAAGAAGGGGTACAAGGTTTGTGGTGTCACAAACTGCACATATTGAACATTAAAATGTGTCCCATGTTGCAAATTTGGAGTGCAAGGACAAAATGTGTTACTAGGATTTCCCAGTAGCAAAAAAAAAAAAGCACCTGGAAAAAAAAGTAGTAAGGCACACACTACAATAGCATGTGCCATGGAGGCTTGATCCTCCAGGGAGATGCTCTGACTGCTGGCCAGAGTGTCTCCACTCCTTTGTTTGTGCCCCAGATACTTCAGCATGCCAGGAGCCAGGAGGAGCTGGGAAAGGGCTGTTTGCCTAAAGCAGGACAATTTGCCCTCAACAAAGTGCACTTGAAGGGGCATATGCTGTGGCACAAAGTAGTGGCACAAATTTGTACCTCTACGATTTTTCCCACTGCAAGTCTATTCCCCTGCTCATCTGGATGTGGCCAAGGAGTCCTTCAGACCATTCAAGCAATACCCATAAGCAGGCTTGGGAGTCTGCAAACTTACTGTCTGGCTTTGCTTCCTTGGGAGCCCCTTAGCCTGTTCTCATAATACAAAACAATACTCTTTGGTCTAAAGCAGTGGTTCTCAACTGGGGTGCTGGGCATCCCCCAGGTGTCACCAGATATGAGGAGATAAGCACAGATTCAGTCTTGTCCCTGTCTGGTCAGTCCCCCACCCTCTCTTCAAGGAAGAAAGCACTGAAATATATTAATTAGTTTTTGAAACTGGGGGTGGTACTCAATTCAAAAAAGTTATGGAGGGGGTGGAGGTGGCAGGGCTCAAGTCCAAAAAAGGTTGAGAAACACTGATCTCAACAAACAAATAAGTATCTGGACATGAAGACCTGCCCAGAAGACCTGCCAGGGAGTCAGTTGGTCCTTTGGATAAAAGGGATATTAAAGGATGACAGGGCCATTGTCAAGAAACTAAATGAATTCTTTGCATCTGTCTTCACTGTGGAAGTTGTTTGGTAGATTCCCCTCACCAGATCTACTCCTCTCTAGAGGCAAGTCAGTGGAGTTGACCCAAACTGAGGTTTCAACAGATGTGGTCCTAGAGGAAATTGATAAACTAAACAGGAAATTATTCTGATAAAAATTGATAAACTATCACAGGAAATTGATAAACTAAATTATCAGGATCTTATGACATTCACCTTAGGGTCCTGAAGGAGCTCAGAGTGGAAATTACCAAACTCCTAAGTGTAGCATACAACCTATCATTAAAAACAGCTTTGGTATCAGAGGACTGGAGGATTGCTAATATGACTCCCATATTTAAAAAAGGCTCTGGAAGGGATGCACAGAATTACAGGCTGGTGAACCTAACTTCCTGGAAACTGGTAGAAACAATAATAATAATAATAATAATAATAATAGAATTATTCAGCACATGGACAACCATGACTTGCTGGGGAGGAATCAACATGGCTTTATCAAAGAGAAATCATGCCTCACCAATCTTCTAGAGTTCTTTGAGGATGTCAATAAGCAGGTGGATCAGGGTGATCCAGTTGACATAGTGTTTCTGGACTTACAAAAAGCCTTTAATAAGGTCCCCCATCAGAGACTTGTAACTAAATTAGGTAGTTGTGGGATTACAGGGAAGGTCCACTCATGTATTAGAAATTGTCCCAAAGATAGAAAGCAAAAGTGAGTATCAAGAGTCAGTTTTCAGGATGGAAAGAAGTAAACACTGGGGTCCCCAAGGGATCTTTGTTTGGGACCAGTGCTGTTCAACACATTTATAATAAATGGTCTGGAAAAGGGATGAATAGCGAGGCAGCCAGATTTGCAGATGACACAAAATTGTTTAAAGTGATGAAAACCAAGGTGGACAAAGGAACTACAGAAGGATTTGGCAAGATTGAGTGCATGGGCAACTAAATGGCAGATGAAATTCAATGTAGATAAGTGTAAAGTGATACAAACGGGCAAAAATAACCCAAACTACACTTACACTATGATGGGCACTACATTAACTCTTACCACACAGGAAAGAAATCTGGGAGTCATTGTGGACAGTTAACAAAAAAAATCAGCTCAGTGCTCAGCAGCCATCAAAAAGGCAAAAAAAAATGTTAGGGATTATTAAGAAGGGAACTGTAATCAAAACAGAAAGTCTCATTATGCCCCTTTATAAATTCATTGTGTGTCCACACCTTGAATAACGTGCCCATATCTGTCCCACCTCAAAAAGTATATACAAGAACTAGAGAAAGTACAGAGAAGGGCAACAAGGATGATTAGTGATATGGAAGGGCTTTCAAATGAGAAGAGACTAAAGAAGCTAGGCCTATTCAGTTTAGAAGAGAGATGCTTGTGGGGGGACATGAGCAGGGTTTCCAAAATACTAAAAGGTGAAGAGAAAGTAAATAGGGATTTATTATTTACTCTCTCTCTCTCTCAGGATAAGAACCAGAGGTCAAAAAATGAAACAAGTAGGTAGCAAGTTTAAAACTAACAAAAGGAAGTTCTTTATTACACTATGTGTAATTAAAATATGGAACTCATTGCCACAGCATATTGTGGAAGCTGACAGTTTAGCCAAATTAAAAAAGAGAATGGACAGATTCTTAGAGGAAAGGTGTATCAGTAGCTATTGAGTACAGGAGTGAGGGGCACAGCCTCTGAATCAGAACTTCCTAGACCTTAAATCCTGGAGACTGCAAGTGAGAGAGGAACAGTGGAAAAAAACCCTGGTTGTGCCATGTTCACTCTCCCTTTCAGCATCTATTCTCTGACCTCATGTGACACAGGAGACTGAGGAATACGGATCTATGTTCTGACCCAGTAAATGGCATATCTTGTGTTCTTATAAATTCTTATGTTCCATGTACAGCAAACCTTTAGCCTATCTCCAGACAGCAGGAAAAGGCCCTCTAGCTCCAGCCCATCCTAGAATCAAGCACCACTACCCAGTCTGCTCCCTGCCCTCAAACTGTTCCTTCCCCTAGCTCAAGCTCCTTGCTGTAGCCCAGGCTGGGTTTTTAACTGCCAGCTAATCACCCACAGCTGGATCCCTAGCCCAGGGTGTCTACTTTCTTTAAAGTACTAGACTACTCTTTTACATGCAGACAGAGCACTCCTGAAACCTTTGTCATGCAGGATCCTCAGCAAAGAAACTTACACCTCCTGTTGCTCACAGACAATGGAAGACAGACACAGAGAGGCACTTTCTACTCAAATGTCCCAAACAACATGGACAGGTGAGATATTTCCACAGATCACCAGGAACTGTAAAATACTGGCCATGGGGAAAAGGAGCAGAGCAGCGGATATACAAGAATGGCAAATGCACATAGGATCAAACCCAAAACAGTTTACCCGTCTCACAAAAATACCTGGGGAGACTGTATCATTTCACCTTTGGCAATACTTGCCCTCCTTAAGGACTTCCTGTTTGAGCCAAACAACTGAACTGAGCTGGTGGGGAGCTCATTCTATGCATGTGTTTCTGAAAAGCTCTGCTGTGTGATGCATGAGCTGGCAGGGCAGTGTGCATTGTTATGAAGCTCTGCTTACCCTCCCTGGGCACAAGAGCATGTCTATGCAAGAGAAGCTCACTGTGCATATACACAAGGTAGAGTGTGGGGAAATGGCCATGGTGTGATAGATGAAAATTTACTTTTACAGTAAAGCCCCCTGGCTTTACTGTAATATTTCTCTGTTAACAGTGCTCATGTTATTGTAATGTTGTATGCCTCATTTTCTTCATAAAGCTAGTACATGGGAAAGGAATAAGTTAAAGAGATAATGAAGCAAGAGATCTGCCTATGTGTGGGACAAGACAAGGTGGACCTCTAGTATCTACAGAGTCTTGAATAGTTTTGTTGGCACATCAGCAAAGGTGAAATGGCCCACACTTGGGAAGCTGGTGGCGATAAACACAGGGCAGGTTGAACAAGTTAGTTGTCAGCTGCTGAGCATGGTGTCAGGAGAGTAGGATGAGCTAGGAGCTGAGGAGTTGTGGGTCTCAGAGCCCATAAAAACTGAAAAAGAAACAGCTGAGTGTCTTTGGGGGTACCCTGGGCTGTGTGGGCTGTATTGGAGATGGAGGAACAGCTTTACCCTTGGAAGGGGCAGAAAACCCCTGGCTGGGTGGCCTCCACCTCAGTAAATGCTTTTACTAAGAGACTGTCTGCTTTGCTACTTGGAACTTTTGAGTTGCACTCGGTCTCCCCAGAAAGAGGCAAAATCTCACTCAGGAGCAGAACTGGATGCTAATTATTGAGTCAGGGGCCACAGAGTACCAGGGAAGGTGAGAGACTGAAAGGACAGGATCTCAGAAAAGGAAGGAGCCTGACCTCCCCCTTTGCTCTAGAAGCCAAGTCTGGGCTGGCTTTGAGGGACTCTCTCAGAGGCCAGACAAGGCCATATTAGTCCTGTGCAAGCACCTGCTGGAGGGCACTCTCTGACACATGGCTACTTGGACCACTTGTTAGCTGGGTCTTTACCTTACCTGCCAGCGAAGCTTGCTACTGGGACCTCTTCCTGGGCACCACTGTTTGAACCCTTCTGGTCTAGCTCAGTGCCTACTGGCACAGGTGTGGTCTTCACATCCAGAGACCCCTCCAAGGAGAATGCTAAGTTGATTAGCTGCTCGATGACATAGTCTATGTGTTGTTTTGTGCCCCTCTCAATCTTGGTGCTGAGCTTCACCCCCAGTGATGTTTCAGATAAGGTTGTGACTGCCTGGCCTTGTAGGTGCCCTGGCAGGTCCAGGCGCTCTTGGGTTCTTTGGCGCACTGGCATGACATGGAGGAACCCTTTGGGCATCGGCTCCTGGCCTGAAACAGCATACGCATATTTCAGGATAGCGTCAATGTGGGGGTATAGCCGGATGTCAGTGTGCTGCCTGCGATCCTCCTTCAGGTGCCTAGAATCTAGATGAAGAACAAGATGCAGAGCATCTGAAGAACAGATAAATCTCACACGCCATTCTCAGAAACATCCCCCATGCATATAAACACAGGCACACATGAGCACGCATGCTTCTTGGATTCTTGTCAGTTAAGATGTGCATGCATCCAATCCTGCTCTCTCCTATTGTTGATCACTTATATGATCTCTGCCAATATGTGCACTCTTCAATCTGTGTCTCTCCTTTCTATCTCTCTCTCTCTCACACACACACACACACACACACACACCCCATTACTCCCATCAAGGAGGTGCAACCCCAGGATACAATCTTGTACAGTGTTAGTCTGGTCCCACAACTATGCCTGCAGATCCCTTTACATTCCTACCCATCCCCTCTTCCTCTTTGCATGGGGCCCTGTGTATAATTTCTCTATGAGGCAGAATAAAGAGAAGAGATAGAGCCAGAGGGGCACGAATGATGAATTGCCCCAGCACTGTTGTACCTGGTTTCTTAGGAGGGCTGGTCAGGGCAAGTGAGTCGCTCTTTGCCCAAGAGCCCATGGTATGAGGCCTTTCTGCTTGGGCTGGAGACTTTTTAGGGGGAGGCAAGTCAGGACACAGGATTCTCTGAATGGGGAGAGAGAGGGAGAAGTTAGAGCCCCCCAGTGCGGTATACCCTGCAAGATTCTTCCTTTTCCCTGCAATAGTCCTTCTTAAAATACTTTCCCTTTATTATGATAATCTTGTCTGAACTTTCTCTCTTCCAATCCAGCCATCCCTCAAGACTCCTCCATTCTCCTGCAATAGCCCCACCAGACTCCTCTCCTTCATGAGGATAAATGGAACATAGGAACATGGAAATACAGGGCTGGAAGGGGCTTACTGGCCCATCAAATCCCATCCTTTGTGTTTGCAGGCAAGTGTTATATAAGGAGCCCTGAAAAATTATCCATTCTAACCCTTTAGACTCCACAATCACATGCACAATCTGATCTATGGGATAAATTTCTTCCTGACACCAAATCTGGTGCTCAGGCTGACCCTGAGTGGAAAAGAAAGACCCTCAAGCCAGGTACACAAAGGATTTCTAAGTATCAATAACAGCACAGGTGCACCCCAGTCAAACACCCACTTTTACCTATGGCCCCTGTCCAATGATTGAGAAGAAGGTATGAAGGGAAAAAAACAGCAATGAAGCATTCTTGAGGGAAAAACTTTGAATAAAAAAAACTTTGACTTGCAAATACTTTGAATCCACATCTCAGATGTGCTGATAATTGATCCAAGGACCTCCCCTTCTCATCACACTGTCCCTTTCAAATTCTACCCTGAAGTTATTCCAGATCTTAGCCACCACTCATTTGCTTAGAAGACTGTTTCAAACATTACTAATTCTGCCTAAGCCCCTTCCCTCCCCTGCAACAATCCTTCAAGGTTTATCCCCACCCTTGAAGTACACCCTCTAGGCCCCTCCCTTCATTATGATAATCTCTCCAAGAACTGTTCCCTCCTCAGTGGATGCATCTACATGTAATAAATGGCACTAACAATGCTCTGTAACCAGTGCTACTGTACAGTAGTGCCAGTGCACGTTTTTTAGGTGATGCTAATGTGCAGTAGACTAATTCTACTGTGCATTAACACATTAGCATGGTTTTTGCCTGCTGTGCTAATGCACAGTAGAATTAGTCTACTGTGTATTTAGTGTCTCATATAGATGCACCCACTGATAGTCTCCCTACCCCTCAGACCTGCCCACCTCACCTTGATGTAAAACTTGCGAGTGGTACAACGGTATTGTGCAAACTCACAAAAGGTCTGAAACAAGGAGGCTTCTGGGAGGTTGGTACATACTGAGCCTAGGGTGAGAGGAAACGTAAACTGAGATGAAAGGAGTGGGGAAATCAACCTCATAAGCAGCATGAATCAGATTCTGACTCAAGTACCTGGTCCATTCTTGTTGCTGGCCAAGAAGGGAATGCTCCTTGGTTGCTTGAGTGAACAGCCAAGTTAAAAACATCCAATTGGAGCCAGGAGGCAGTGCACTACATTGCTAAAGTTCACATGGCCTCCTATCTCACAACTCTTGTTACAGCATCTCGCCCCATGGCTGCCTTGGTCAACCTACTTTGGACCTCTTTCCTTTGTCATACGGTGTTAAAGCCCTTGTAGCAGACATCTGGTTTTCCACATCGAGGAAAACAAACAGGAGCAGTGATTTTGTGGGTGTCACGGCGGGGTCCTGGCGGAGGGCCGTGTGCTCCTTAAGGTCCCTCGCTCCGTGTCAGGCCGGCCCAAGGCACCCTCTAATTCTCGCCC